TAGTGTAAATGACAGCATTCCAATTTTTGACATTTCTACAGCACAAAAAAACATAAAATTCTTTAAGCAACAGTCAAGACTTAATATAAATATACATTCTGAATAAAAATTACGTTTACAGATTCTTTTACAAGTGCTTGCTGTTAAAATCAGTCACACACTTTTGAAGTTGATATTCTGGGTGTGCACTCCTCTCAAAAATTCGAGATAACCTCTTTTAGCTGACCCAGAGAACAAGATGTGGGGTTTGAAAGCCCTTGACTCTGTGATCACAAAAATGTAAAAGTTAAAATCAAAACATTATATCCAAGAAAATAATTCAACATTTAAATGGATTACTATAAACAGCAATAGAGTAAATGACAGCTTTTGACATTTCTACAGCATATATAATTGTATTACTGACTGGTGTCCTTTTGTATGTGACAATCAAGGTACACTCACTATGAACTCCCATTTTTTAAGTAAATTTTTCGGGAAAATCCACGATTTATTTGTTTACATAAAATTCATGATGAGCATAATTTTCAACTGCCGCAATAAAAATGCCCTTTTTTGCAAAACCACATGAAGAAAACCAAAAAACTATCTGTTTTCTTTGTATGCACAAGGCAAAACGAGAGGTAACACCTTTAACAATTGAAAAAGTGAAGACAGTTTTCCAAAGAGATGTTGATTTTCAAAACTCAAGAGTTCCAAAAGGAATTTGTGAAGGATGCCGTTCAGCAATGAGGAGAAAAGATGAAGTCAAAGAAGTAAGCATACCACTGCCATTCAATTTTCAAGAAATTTATCCCAAGATTTTCTCAAGAGAGCAAGCTTGCCAATGCCTCACCTGTCAAATTGGTCAACTCAAGCTCAATCAAAGGCATCCTTTGGAAAATTGACAGAAAACTGAAAACGAGAAGGATGATCATAGATGTTCCAAATATCTTGCCGTTCTTGGCAAAGGTATGTACCATCCTTGCAATGAATACACATTTTGGGAAAACATGAGGTTGCTTGCAGCTAAAGATAGCAAAGTTTCTGACCAAATAGCTGCTACTGTTATCAGTCAAAAAGAGGCATCACCACATGGAACAATTTTCATAAATCAAGCTCAAGCTGGACGACCGTTGGCATTGACACCAGGTAGATTTTTGCTATGCTCATAAATTTATTTTTAAACCTAAACACGATGTACTTATTTATAAATTTATAACCTGACAGGTTCTTCAAGCTCTCGGCGGTTGTTTGAGGCCCCTACAAGAGTGACAGCAAAGATCTTGCGCAAATTCAGATCAATACAGGAATGTCCAACAATGGCATAAGAAAGCTAGCATCAATTCTTAATCAAGTATCACAGGTTAAAGTCACTGAACTATACATTGACTCTAAGTTTTTTGAAATAGTAACCAATCTTGCAAGTTTTTTCACATATTCAAAGCTAGAAGTCATGCAAGAGAAAGGATCAAAAGTCGAAATGGCAACAATTATTCACTGTAAAGATTTTTCTGAACTGCTGGTGCACTTCCTTTTAGAAAGAAAAATATTTTCTGATCACATTGTCAAGCTTGGAGTAGATGGGGATGCTGGATTTCTAAAATTGTCTCTTGGGATTGTAGAAACATTACAGCACTGCAAAGTTCGTTTTCCAACAAGCAAACGACTCCTGACAGTAAAGAGCTCCAAAGATAGCGGTTGCAATCAGCAACTTATTGTTGCTGTCTCTGAAGGAATGTCTGAAAACTATTCTAACCTCAAGAATATTTTCTCCTTGATCAAAGCTGATTCAAAGAATTTTGTGGTATCTTGTGACTTGAAAGTTACCAATATTCTATGTGGTCTTCAATCTCACGCTTCCATGCATCCATGCACATGGTGCACAGATTTTGGTTCCCTCAAAGCCTTTTTTCAAGCATTTGCTTCTGCTGGCAGTGATGTAAAAAATGCCAAGAAATATGGGAATGTCATCCATAAACCAATTCTTCATGTAGATGACACTAGTCTGGTTTTGGAAATTATCCCTCCCATGGAGCTTCGTCTTTTGCTTGGAGTTGTTAACCACCTCTACAAAATTCTAAAAACAGTCTGGCCTCCAACTGATGAGTGAGCAACTGCTCTTCATATTAATCTTTAGCCTTACCATGGAGGTAATTTCATTGGCAATAATTGCCGCAAGCTTCTCAAAAATGTTGATCTTCTTCAACAGTTGGCCAAAGAGAAGGTAGCAGTTCATATTTTTCCACTTATTGATACTCTGAGAAAGTTTGATCCTGTGGTTATTGTCTGCTTTAGAAACGATCTGCAGCATGACTATGCACAAAAAATTGAACTTTTCAAGCAATCATTCTTGGCACTACCAGCAGGAAGTGTAACTCCAAAAGTTCATGCTGTGTTTTTTCACATCAAGGATTTCATCTCAAGAAAAAACACTTCTTTGGGTATTTACAGTGAGCAAACCACTGAAGCTGTGCAATATCAATTTCAAACTCATTGGCAAAGGTACAAGCGCCAAAAGACACAACCAGAATATGAGTCTCAAATTCAAAAGTGTGTGACTGATTTTAACAGCAAGCACTTGTAAAAGAATCTGTGAACGTAATTTTTATTCAGAATGTATATTTATATTAAGTCTTGACTGTTGCTTAAAGAATTTTATGTTTATATGTGCTGTAGAAATGTCAAAAATTGAAATGCTGTCATTTACACTATTGATGTTGATAGTAATAAAATTAAATGTTGAATTATTTTCTTGGATATAATGTTTTGATTTTACTTAAACTTAATGATTGGGATGAGTTTTCTAAATTCTCTACAAAAAATTCATCATATTTTATAACAGCATACTTCTCTTTACTGTGTAGTCTTTTAACTTCCTTCTATAACTTTTAACGACTTTAGATAGTTTCCTTGGCAAAATCTTCGTTAATAAATACACCAGGTCCACGCAAGCTTTTCACGGCGTTTATAATTTTATTGTTGTCTTGATAATTTAAGAGCTTCAAAACTATTACTTTTGGTACTTTCTTATCTCTTGATTTGCCTACTTGATGCACTCTTTCCACAACCACTTCGCTGTCAATTTTCAGTTGTTTTTTAAAAGTATTTTTTACTGTATTTTTACAGTCACTCCAGGTTTCATTAGATTTTTCTTCAATTTCACCTATTCGTAGATTATTTCGGAGAGATCTGTTTTCTAAATAAATTGTTTATTTGAGTAAAATATTTAACTCCTTATCATAATTCTTTCTAATTTGTACTACCTTTTCCGTTAGGTTTGTTTCTTTTTAGTTTAGACTTGTTTTAAAATATTTTATATTATTTTGAATATGCAACTTTTTTATTATTAAAAACAAAACTGCAAAGGTTTCAAAACCTTCACAGGTTTGCAGAATATCTGAAGCAAATATGAATACAGTAAATTAATATTTTAGAAGCAAACTTCAAAGTATAAAAACTACTATCCAAGAAAGGCTTGCGACAGTCTTAAAATCTATTTTTACCTCAGAGTTAACTCTCCTTGTAGATTGTTTAACAACATTTGGCACGACCTATAAATGTCGAAAACAATCAATACCTTCAAACCTAAGACATCACCACTAGATATTATTCAGTCTAATTATACCTCACCCTGTTGACCTCTCATTCAAATCTGGAATTATACTATTTGAAACATTGATATTATTATTATTATCATTAAATAAATGTGTATATGTATCATCGTTTACCGAATATTACTTCGTTTAACGAATAGTGACATTAAATTTACTAGCTCTCTAAAGTTTATTATTTTTATTTATTTAGTTATTTTTCTATTTTTGAGAGTTTATAGGATTTTATTTTCGACGTGCAAAATATGATATTTCTAATTATGATTATTTAAAACTATTCCAGGGTATTCGTTGAATAGTCTCTTTATATATCAATGTTTTTGATCATAAGCTTGGGGAAGCTTCAGTATTAAATTATCAGAGTTAGATGGTTTATAAAATAAAACATGTTTGGTTTTGAGGATATTTAAGAATAAAAAAAATTCGTTTAACGAATATTACTATTCGTTAAACTTTGATACCAAAGTTAAACGAATTCGAAAAAGTTGAAAAATTTGCTATTCGTTTAATGAAAACACTGTTCGCTATTTTTTAAATTAAAGTTATTTTCTTAATAATACCAAACTTTAGTTAAAATCAGTTTGTTATAATTGAAATTATCCATCCTATCAGCTCTTTAGGAATCCTGCCTAAATATTAGAAAAATTAAGTTTTTAATTACGATATCCATATAGGTTTGTAAAGCTGTAAGTTGCTATGTTTTTGTTTATATGCTTAAGTGAAAACTAATTTCTTGTATAACTTTTTCTTCTTTATACAAAAGTTTTGCGCTTAAATTTTAACTAAAAAATAGGATAAAACAAAGTAATATTAATACTGTTAAATTTTAAAAGTTATTTTGCGCAATTTTGGAGCAGGGGTCATAATAGCAATTTGAGCTAGTACTTTTTTAAACAAATAATAATTTCAAGTATTTAGTCAAGTATTGAAATGCGATTGCGTTAATAAAAAATATATTGCCACTTCTGTTGGATTGTAGTGGAGAAATATTGGGATAGTAGTGGATAAATAAAAAACAAAATAAATCTAACCAGTTGCAAATACGGATTAGAAGACAAAAATCAAGCTTTTAAAAAAAGTCCAGAATCAGCTTTTTTTAAAAGCTGATTGTGGACTTTGGTTGATGGAACTTTGGTTGATTTAAGCTCAAAAAAAACAAAAAAAAACAAATTACTTGCTATTTTAACAATAGAAATTATTTGTGGCTAAAGAAGATAAATTTATTTTTCTAGTAAGATAAATTTATTTTTCATTTATCTATAATACTTCATGTATATATTTTTTCATATTTTGCCCCACAAAATTGTCTCGTATCTTGCGCCACTTTATCAATTGTCTCATATTTTGCGCGCACTTTATTTTAACGATTATATAAGCAAACGAACAGGATTGAAAAAAAGCGACATCTGAAATATAATATCTTTATTTGTGTGTAGTTTTTATTGTAAAAACAATTAGCTTTTAGTAATCCCCTTTTCTTACAAGAATCAACCAGAATGCTTTCGTTTATCAAATGTCTAATGTTTCTAAATCTAAGTTGAATCAAAATTAGATGATAGCGTCAGAATACACATCCATGGAAAAAAGATCTTTTCTCTTTGAAAGATACCTACAAAATATTCTTTTTGATTACTTTATACAATATAATTTCCTCAACAATAAATTTATATTAAAACAAAATACAATATATTACACACACACGCACACACACACACACACACACGCACACACACACACATAATTAAATTTCATAAAAGTAATAATAAATATTTCCTTTGTATTTATATAAAAACTAAAATCATACTCCAAAAGATTTGAAACACATTTTAGAAATACATTGATTTTTTCTTCTTCTATATTCGCGACAGCAAGCAAAACTGGCAGTTTTACTAAAAAAAAAACCAAATAAAAAAGTAAAACCCTTAAAGAAACTAAAGTACAATAACTGCAAATCACTTACCAAATAGACGCAAAAAATGTTCTACGCCATATATCTCTGCAGGAGAATCGCCATTTGGCATAAGAGGATAAACCATAAAAAACCCTTCAGTCTCATTTGCTTTTTTCTTGAGATAAAAGTGATTTAAAAAAATAATAATATTTATACAAAAGTACATTTCTGCTTAAATAAATATTTATTAAAGAAGAATTTAAATTAAATAAGCTATTAAATAATAATAATTTTATAATAATTAAATATATTTATAATAAATTAAAGTTGCTGAAATTTGTTTTAATACAAAGTAGTATTTAAATTAAAAAGATCAGAACATTTTACAAGGTTTAGTTTGTAAATAAACAAAAAAGTTATAAAGATATGAAAACCATCAAAGAGGATCGCTTACTACTTTACCCTTAGCATCATTATTAACTGATTTTTGTGAAACATTTTCCGCTGCTTCTTCAGAAGACTTGCGACTTCGAGTTGATCTTCGAAAGTGAACATCTAAAGGAGAAAACCATTAAATTAAAAACTATATATATAAAAAAATGGTCAAGTTTAAAAATAATAACTGTTAAATAAACCAACAAATGTTTAAAATCAGTATAACTTAATGAGAATCTAGTCAAAATTTTTCCTATATACACTGAAAAAAACCAAATTTAGACATTAATTTGCCTAATCAAACAAAACTAAACGATTCAAGCATTTGATGTGGATTTATATCCATCCATACGCATTCCATCCATAAGCATTCCATCCATACGCATTCCATCGCATTTAAGCAACTCCTGTCATTATTGATATATTGATTTAAAAACTCAAACAATATCTAGTTGACATGCGCAAACGAACTTTTTATTAAGAGATTAAAAAAATTTAAAGAGTTAAAAAAAAATTCGTAAGAATGAAAAAAGTAAAAATCGCACAAGTAATAAGTAAAAATAAAATATATTAAAAATAAAAATAAGGATAATTAAGGAAATTAAAGAACAAATTGTGTAATTTTGTAAACAAAAATAAAATCAGAATAAAACCTATAGTCTTTAATGGCAGTTATGGCGGAAGCGTTCTTACAGAATTAAAAAAAAGCCCTTTTTATAGCCATTATACATACATCCAAACTTACAAGAGATATGTACAAGAGGTATGTAGATAATTCTCATGCTTTCTTTGATTTAATAAAAATTTAAGGAATGTTTCACCCTAAATGAATGAAATCATAAAATACAATTTTGAACTTAAAAACCACCAAAAACTACTTAATTTTCTGGATATTACAAACACAATGAATGGAAACAAAAGAAAAAACATAAAAGAAAAGCTATTATTAATGTTCAACTTTAACTCTTTTTTTCTCTGAATTACTTTTTTTCAAACTGGACATCTGTCCAACATCTTATATAAATTCTCAATAACACTTACTCTAATAAAACCCTTTTTTCTCTCTCCCTTTGGAGTTTATGGCCTGATGGGTTTCAAATTGTGGCTAGACTATGCTATAGCTGCAAACAATAAACACACTAACATAAATATGTCTGTGTGTATAGTTAGTAGTAGTGGTTGAGCACTTCCTTTCAAGTTCCAAGTTCAATCGATGCCACCGGTTGTACCATGCTAAACTTGTTTCATTTTTTAATTTATGTATTTTAATTTAATGTGTGTCAAATCAGACATTTTTTATTGTTCTATTTTTTTTGACTAAGGCTATAATTGATTGTACAAACAAAATGTTTTAAATTTTTGATAAAAGTTAGCTGGGTGTATAAATATACTAGGCATATTTATTGATCAATCTTCAATGCCATATGACAAAAAAAATGGTATATATATATATATATATATATATATATATATATATATATATATATATATATATATATATATATATATATATATATATATAAATCTACACAAATGTTACTATGTTGTAATCAAGAATTAGCAAGACTAACTATGATATATGGAAGATGACAAACAGCTTCAACATCCTTTTCTAATCTGGCTTTTTTAGCCTTTAACTCTTTTATCAATTGTATAGCACATCGCTTTTCACACAGTTCCTTTTGTTGTTGTTCTTTACTTTTTCTCTGGTCAGACAGAGCTTGTTGGTATCAGCCATACCATAAACAAACACTTTTCAACATTATTGGTGTGATATGAACATTACACAGTTCACCAACATTGAGGATTGCATTATAAATTTGTTGCTGGGCAACTACAGATTCTGCTGCAAGATTTTCTACTGAAACATTTGAGATAACATTAAGACCTCGCTCTACTTGTGCATGAGATAAAATCATTACAATTATTGCTATTTTAAACAACACTGAGAACTGCGTATCTTTGTCAATTAGTTCATAATAAAAGTCATCTCAACGCTGCTTAGTGAAATCAAAATTTTCAAAACTCTCCATTTTTAATGATGCCAAATTGCATAGGCTAGCATACTTACCCATAGCTTGATCAGCTAGGGCTGATTTTATTAGCCCAGATTCATGTTGAAATGAATCTGGGCTAAAAAATCAAAATGCACCTTTATTAGGTGACCTGATGGTAACCTTTGGCAGAAACAATGATAAATTCCTAGAAGCTTTGTATTTATGTGGAGAAAACTCTTTTAATTTACCGACTACAGCAATTAAAAAGCTAATGCGTTCTTCTCGAAATTTAATTTTTTGACTACTAACAATTTTACAATTCTATAACTCAAAAACAGCTCCAAATCTAATTACCACATCACTCCAATTATATGCAAAACATTGATTTGAGATTGTTTTATATATTTATTTTCTAAACAAAAGGTTTAAGTGCATTTATATAAGTACAACACAAACCTCTAACTTTTCTTTATATTTAGGAATTAAATGTATAACTATAAACTAAAAAAATGGTGCAAAAATGCATTGTAAACATAGTTTGACCTGCTCTTGCAGCCAACCTCCAACCATTATCACATTGTTGTAATGTCGCTTCTCTTTCACTTTTCTATAAATAATATAATGGGCACTACTCTAAAGAGCTAGCGTCTCTTGTGTCATTTACTAAAATTCATTCTCGTGTTACTTCTCATTCAATTTAGTCTCATCCTTTTTCTGTGACTGTTCCTAAATATTTCATAAAAATTTTGTTCACTTTCACACATTTAATCATTTAGCCTTTTTAAAAAAGATAAAAAAGAAATATTGTTTGATCTTGACATAATATTGAAAAAATATTTTTGAAAAGTAAGAAGCAAAAAAATAAGAATAAACTTATACAAAAAGTATATTAATTTTGTATGAGTTATTCTTTTTAATATTATTAGTTATTTTTTTTTTTTAGTTATAAAATTATGAAGATTTATCAAAAAATATATAACCAAACTAAATGTATTCAATGTTTGTATTGCATCAGAAGAAATTATGTCTTCCAGTGTGGCTGCCATTATAAAGTAACAATTTTTTTGTTACGTATTAAAATTCACAATAAAAATAGTCACAAGAAAATAAAAACTCTCTAAAATATTAACAGCAGTTGCAACCAACAAATAATTAAATACCATATAAATATAAAATTTTTAGTTTCTAATACACAAAAAAATATTTTGCTACTAAACCCATCAAAATCCCCGACTTTTCCATGACTTTTGGAAAATTTAATATATTCCCCGACTTTTTAGCATAGTTTAGAACTTCCCTGATTTTTCCAGGTTGCTGGCCAGCCTGATATATATATATATATATATATATATATATATATATATATATATATATATATATATATATATATATATATATATATATATATATATATATCAGGGGCTATTCTAGGAAAAAAATTGGGCAGCGGTACCCCTAGTCCCAGAGGAAATATTGCGGAATATTTGTGTTTTTTCACAAAAAAAAACAAAAACAATATTTGCCCTAAAGAACGTAAAAAAAGTCCTGATTTTTTAATTTGGGCGTGCCCAAATACGGTCGAGGCTGTCGAAAACAGTCTAGAATAGCCCTTGTAGTATATATATATAGGGGAGAGCGGGGTTGGTTGTCACACTTTTTACATTTTAGGCTGCTCAGCTTTTAATTTTCATCCAATCAATGCCAAACTTTGCACAAAGCTAGTTTAACTATTTCCAGTAACTATTATAATATTTTTATGACACTGAATGAAATATTTATTGCTGTAAAATCATTTTTTCAAAGACCACTTTTGTGTGACAACTAGCCCCGCTCACGGGGTAGGTTGTCACATGGTGCGGGGTTGATTGTCACATTTGGATTTTGACAAGTTTAGATAAGAATTTAATGTAAAACGAGTACAAATTAATTTCGTTTATGTTTTACTAAGAAAAATAAAAATAAAATACTATAAACTGAAATATATATATTTTAAATATAACACAATTAACAAATTTAGTTTATCACTATAAATGTTTTTAGGTTTGGTTTTTTAAAAATTATTGGATAAAGAACACAATTCACAAATAAACTGTTGTAAGCCTGGTGTGCATTCTTCATGAGACCGTTTTTGGCAAACCTGACATTGAATCCACTGTTCTCATGATCGGCTGTTGGAAAAAGATTCAAAACAATAGATGCACTAAATATAAACAATGCACAAACAAAACAACAGACAGTTTTACAAACTAAACAACAGCTAGTTGTTTAGTTTGTAAACAAAACAATAAACAGTTGAACTTCTGCAATCCTTTTTCTATAATTATACTAAACATTGGATCGGAATCTAAAGTTATGCACGTTGAAATAAAAATAATTTAGATTACAGATATACAAAAGATAAACAAATATAAGACTTTGACTTTAGATTTTTAAATAATATCTTAAACATTAAAATATTCCTCAATAATGCGGAAAATAAACAAAGCCAATAAAAAATCTGCAAGCGGCGTTTAATTTGCAGCGCATGGAGTCGAGGCAAGTGTGACAACCATCCCCATATATTTTGTGACAAGCAACCCCTTCTGAGTAAGTTGCTGGACACCTGTACATTTACCTAAAAGCGTGAGAATTTCATGATAATTTTTTACGGATTAAGTTACTCAAATGAATAAAGTACTTTATAAATCTACATTCAAAACACAATAAAATAATGTTCATTTGGTAAAAGAAAATTTCTGAGTAGGCGAAATTTTACTTTTTCATATCAAAAACTTTTAAAAACGAATAACTTTTCTTCTGCACGTTAAAAAAAGATAAAAATTACTGTAAAAAATGTTTTTTTTATATAACATTTCCATTGCATAATTTGAAATTTCTATATCTTATTTACATTTCCTGTAATAAACTTTGTGACAACCAACCCGCGTGACAACCAACCCCGCTCTCCCCTATATATATATATATATATATATATATATATATATATATATATATATATATATATATATATATATATATATATATATATGCCCGCCCCAACTCCTTATGATGCCTAGGGTCAAACATATCCAATTATTCCAAAAAAGTTTGATTACCAATACAAAAACTAAAAGAATTGATTTT